ATGCCGTAACATGTAAAAGAAGCCTGTAGTATATAGCATGGTCCGCGATAAGAACATGTGATAGAATTATCATGTGAGTGTGAGTGTGGGGATGGGACTGACTCACCCCACATTACTAATAGGTTAGTATGATCCACGATTGGAACATGTGATAGAATTATCATGTGTTAGAGCGTGTGGGAGTGTGTGGGTGGGACTGACTCACTTCAGATTACTAACAGTTTAGTATGAACGACGATCGGAACATGATTGATTGTGATAGAATTATCACGTGAGTGTGAGTGTGGGTGGGGCTGACTCACTTTATATTACTAATAGGTTAGTATGGACCACGATTGGAACATGTGATAGAATTATCACGTGAGTGTGAGTGTGGGGATGGGACTGACTCACTGGATACACGATAGGAGCATGTGATAGATTTATCATGTGAGTGTGAGTGTGTGTGTGGCTGGGAGAGACTCACTCTACATTACTAATAGGAGGTTAGTAGGGACCAACCCCTTAGCGGAAACTGTGGTCCTGCCATTCCCACATGATCACTGGCAATTTATAAAGAGTAAGGCGAGGGGGGATAAGAAGGAAGCTGTAGAGAGGGTGGGTTGATGGGGGAGATGTAGAGATGGTGGGATGAAGGGAAGGTGTGAAGAGAGAGAGAGAGAGAGAGTGGGATAAGGAAAGGGGGAAGATATGTAGCGATGGTGGGATAAGGGGGAGCTGTGGAAAGGATTGGGATGAGCATTAGTTATAGGGAAGGTCGTGTGTTTGACAAGTGCGTGTGTGAATTGTATACGCGTGCGTTGTACGCGTGCGTAGTTTTTATCGAATGACGTATTTTGAAGCACGCCGCCATGTTGGAATCACGGCGTCTTTGGAAGCAACGCGTACCTATGTGTGTGAAGATATTTTAACCGTCGCGATGATTTCATTCCATCGTCGTTTATGAAAAGATTTGCAGCGGATTTCCTTATATGAATTATGAGTTAATGTTTACAATCGTTAATCGCTTTGTCTTCAGTTATTTTTTTCTTCTACGTACATTTCTTTCATGTAGCTATAGGCCTATATGACATGATGGGGCTTGTTGTCAGAAACAAAACTGGTCTTAACGGTAATCATAACATTAATTATTTCTCTTAAACTGTTGAGAAAAACGTCGTAATGTTACGAGAATAAAAAATTCCAGCCAATTTTCTCATAGCATTTAACGAAACCAAAATTGTTTCCACTGTCTACGAAAAAACGTCAATGGTAAGGCTATAGTGTCACGATTAATTATGTTTCTGAAAACGAGCCCGTGATTTGATATTGTATTGCTGAGCGTATTGCTGACGCTGACGCTGTATTGTATTGTATTGTGGTATGCATAACACTTCGTGCCATTTTTTCGTGTTTTTTTTGCCATATTCGTGTCTTGATTTTCTAATAGACGACACGGGCGTGGGCCATTTCGGGAGGCAAGATAATTAATTTATATCGACGACCGGCAGAGTAAAATGTAGTCAGTGTAATTTTGGGGGTAATTTAAAGTTTAAACAAAGTGTGTCGTTATATGTTACTGCACCAAACTATAAAGTACAGTCGCATTTTAGTGTAATCCAATTATTTCGATACGGTAAAAAGTATACGTGGAAGTGACCAATAAAACATTTAATCAGCACGTACATTATGTATCATTAATAAAAATATATCACTAGTCAGTATATAGCGGCTTAGTAGTGAAATATTTTTGTTATTATGTAAATAGTAAAGTCAGTATTTATCAGTGATATATGTTTTCTTTTTATTATATGTCTCGATCGATGTCAACAATAAACACTAAATAGCAACATTTTTCAAAAAAGCGTTAGAGCTACGAAAATTTACATGCTATATATTTATTATATATGAATAAACATATATATATATATATATATGTATATCGACAAATGAATAATATGAATAAATAATATAATATTATGAATAATACAATGTCAATAGTATGAATAATACAAGTAAATTGTCATAATAATAAATAACATACTTTTAACATATAGTAAATAACATACACGTACAGTACATACTTTTATAAAATAATCTACTTATATCGTTATTTATATAATGTCGTATAGCCATATAGGAGTTTAGATCCCAGCTAACACTAAAAGTAAACGTTATTATAACGATATTTCATTATAAACAGCTCAGTACGATTCCCCCTAAAGATTTTATTTCCCGCCAACTGAACGCAAAGCTGCGCCCCCTACAAAAAACAACAACACCCGGAGCGACACCTTTCGGCAGGTAAGGCAACAAAGCGCACCCGGAAATTACGATAATATCGTAGTCGCGTAATGTTTCGTAAACAGCTTGAACTTCAAGTCAACTAAAGTCAAAGTTGTGACTTATACGTGCGTATGAAGTTTTCATAGAACGTAGTTTCGTGTACTCTAGATTTTGTTACTACGTTTACTTTAGACTAGTTATTACGTTCAACTCTGCATCTTTGTTAGTTTGTTGTGATGACAATGATGTTCTCTTAGGCCGTTTTGACAATGCCAAACTTTTCAAACTATTTCTCCGTCATAAATGCGCCAATAATGATAAATAATATAAGCAATATACGACCCTAAAGTGTAAATTAATTGTAAAAAATAGTTACACAGTGGGTCTTTTTTATTCAATCTTTTTAGAAATTTTGCTAAAATTGGTACATTTCACTTTGTAAACACTATACAGATTTTGCCATGGCCCTAGAGGCAGTTGTTGCTGTGGCCATATCAGTGCTGGCAGCCATCTTTCTGGCCAGTTTGGTCATACTGGTCGTCCTCTGTCGTCACAAGTACTGCAAGCAGATGGACCTTCTATCGGCACAGATGCAAGACACGAGGTACGCTGGCGCTCGATGGCCCACACCTAGTTTAGCAATAGCACCCCGAATTAGTTTAGCACATATGTGAAAACACATTTGCGGGTAAATAATAATTCTCTCTCGCTCGCTCTATCGCAGACCGGACGTGCAGCTGATTGACGCTAGCCTCGGCACGGACAACCACGCCGCGTTCGAACTCGACGAGGTCAAGCTGACTCATCCGAACATCGAGGAGATCCTCAACGACGAGAAGTGGATCGATGACGTCACGTGAGTTATGCTGCCGCTGCTGCCATCTAGCGACGGACCAGAGAAACTTTGTTTTAATTGATTCGTTATAGGAATTTTCAACTGCTATAGGCAGCAGTGGTCCTACTCGCTGGTAATTTGAATATTAATTGATAAGTAATAGTAAACTTTAAGTACTAATAAGTAGTAATAAGTTTTCTTAGTAAGTAATAGTAATAACTATTACACGTAACTAACAGCTAATTAGTAGTAATAACAAAGGTCGACGACATCATGCGAGTTCTCGTGTCGTCACCTGCTGCCATCTAGTGACATGTCCGAGAAACATAGTTTGTTACTCGGTGTGCTCAGTTCGTTATTCATGAGAATTATTTCTATTGTGAAGCTGCATCTGATCGAAGTACTAAACGTGGGAATTGATCGGTCGAGCTTGTCTGTCTTCAAACAATAGAGCGTTCGTCAGCGCGACACTCACCCGACGATGTGTCTCTTTCTCTCTGTTTCAGTGGCTTCGTCCCGCACTGCCTCTCCATCCTGAAGATCTGCCACCACCTCACCGAGAACCTCGTCGCCATGACGATGGGCAAGTCGGCGCAGATCCACAACAACAAGCACATGGCGGAGATCGTTGCGGCGGCGCGTCGCATCGTGCCGCGCGTCGACGACATGGTGCGGTCCATGTACCCACCGATGGATGTGAGACTGCTGGATGCAAGGTACGTGAGGGAGGGAGGAAGGGAGGAGGAGAGGAGGAGAGGGAGGGAAGGGAGAGAGAGAGATAGAGAGAGAGCGAGCGAGAGAGAAAGAGAGAGCGCGCGCGAGAGAGAGAGTGAGAGAGAGAGAGAGAGAGAGTGAGAGTGAGAGAGAGAGAGAGA